GTATTTTTTATTTGCTCCATCAGTTTAGCCGGTCAGGTGGGAGCGCGAAAGGTATCCCGGGAGTTTTCGCAGTCCCCTCCCTATAGGTGGAGGGGCTCCATTTTGTTTGGCTTGGACCTTGAGGTAGGTATTCAGTTCCAGTGGCGTGCTGCCTCCCTCCCCAGGAGAAAGAGGGGAGTAATAAGAGTTTCTAAAGATCTTTCCGAGTCCCAGTCAATACATTATATTAATGAAACTTATCACTTGAAGTGAACCCTGGTAGCCGCCCTTGCTGTCCTACTAACTGCCTACAGGCTATTAAGGCAAGGTGAGGGTTTGAGAGGAAAGTGGGAGAGGAAAATCTGGAGATGCAATGAACCCTTCACTCTCCTATCAGCTATTCTAGAACAGCTTTTTCAGCAGGAAAGCATCCGCGAGCAAACTTTTACGCTCTGAATGATGCTTCTGCTCATAGGAAACTTTTCAATGTGTTTCCTCCATGGGTGTCTGGGTCTTTTGTTTTCAGCTGTGCTTTGCACAGGAGCTGGAAAGCTAACTCCCCAAAAGTGAACTTCCTCTCCTTCTATAAACTGACCCCTGGTGGTTGCTATAGCAACTGCAAAGAGCGCATAATGAGCTGTGTAAACAAGCCCGCTTCCCAGTGCTCGGGCAGGGCAAGCCCACGGGAGAGTGGAGGGGAAGGAATTTGATGGGCCTGAAAAGTGGTTCTTGGGGAGAGTTGGAGGCGCTGCAAAACCTCCCCGCCCTGGCCCGTCCCTCCCTTCCCTTCTCTCCTCCCCTCTCACCTCTTGACTTCCCACCAGACCAGGAGAGGAGACAAAGACTGTAGGAGGGGAGCGTGCAAGGGCCTGCCTTGGACGCTGCGGAGTCCAACGCCATGCGACCGAAAAATGAAATCTAAACATTTACCCAGAGCCCCGGGCGAGAGATGTGCCATCCTGACCCTGACAAACAAGCCACCTGTGTCGGTGCCTCACCTGCTTCAGGCCAGGCTGCTGTGGGTTGGGGGGGGGGGGGGGGGGGGATGGATTCTCCAGCCCTCAGCTACAACAACTTGAGCAGAACCCGAGACAGGAGCCGGAAGATTTCTTAGACCCGCACTGCTGATGTTGATGCTTTGTCCTTTTTTGGAAGGAGGGAAGGATGAAGGCACACAGTACCTAAGAGTTTTGTGATTGTGAAGCTAAACACACACATGCACGCACACACATAAACGCATGCACACACTTTTTTCTTCTCCAGGAACTTGGCTGCTACTTGCAGGAAACTGTGCATATAATAGCAGAGGTCACAGCATTATTTTCGGTTCTCTTTGGTTAACTCTCTCCCACCCTCATCCAACTGGCTGCAAAGGAAAAGTTTTCTACCCTAAATACGAAATTTATGATGCCTAGGACACCGCGATGTCCCTATAACCTTCCTAAAAAGATGATGTACATTGGTGGATTGGGTGAGAAATCCTGTATTTCATGGCTTTAACATGGTCAGTATAGGTTTTCTTCTTTCTGTGAAAGTCAATGTTTTGTCAGTCCCCCGATAAGAAGTCTAGTGTAAGGAACTGTATTTACTTTTAGAGTAATCCTTTTTATGGTACTCTTGACGTTTTAGAGTATTCCCCATCTATTATTTCATTAGATCCTTACAGCAACCCCCAGAATCACAGAGGGGAAATTATATCTCTGGTGAATTCCTCAGAGAAGGACATGAACATAAGAGAGATTAGATGACCATATTGCAGAGATATTGGGGCTTCAAACTGGGTATAAAAGGAGTTATCAAGGTATGTATTGCTCTTACTACCAAGATACCAAATCTCCCTGTATGTATCAGTCTAGATAGCAAAGAAAATTTATATAAGCCTCATATTATATATAAACCATAAAACTTTAGATTTATATGGCATTTTCCTCCAGTACATCCAAATAATTCTACCTAATATTATTGTTTACATTATCTTTTCATAATAGGTGACCAGGTCCTACTGTTTTAATTTGATTCCTCACTCTTGCCTGGTTTTCATTTTGTCAACTGCCATTAATATGCTCCCATCATTTTCCTTTAAAACCATATTAACAGCTACGGTCCAAGGCTGACATGCTTTAAGCTTAATTCGTCTTAGTGAGAAAGAAGAAATAACAGGCCTCCCCATCGTTCTTGCTTTTTCCACACAATTTCTTCTTCTTTTTCTCCTTCTAAATTGAGTCATTGGCCACAGCATTTGTGGGAACACCCCTCCCTGCTGGGTTGGCTCTGCTTTTGTGATATGTGGGGGGAGATAAAGGGAAGGACCTCTGGGCTGGCCATGCTGTCTCCTCAGGGAAAATAGGGGAATTTATAAAAAAGTAGTAGTGTTTTGGAGCCCACCCTTTCCTTATTACCGTTCAGTGGTGGGAAGAGATGACTGTCTTCTACTAGATATAATCCATCTTCCCAGGGACCTGTCAGTGGCGGCCCTTGTGGGTGGGATGAGTAGGGAATCAAAGAATACATTCATTCCTCTAAGACCCAGGGACTAGATTCTGATGGTATCCCATCCCTCCCTTGGAACAAGATTCGTGCCTTTGTCATTGGAAGGTATCAGTAGTGTTGAGGTTCCATGGAGACCACATTTGCTATCCCCAGCTGTAGGCATTATTCCCTCAGATGGTGCACAATATTACCAGCAGACTTTTCAGACCTGGATGCCTCCTCCTCTAGGTTCAAAACATCAGCAAGCTCTGGAGCCAAGAACCGCCCCCCCCCCCCCCGCCAGGTCTCAGGAACCAGCCCATTCTATGGATATTTTAAAGGGTCCCCTGAATTTTTGGGTCTTCCAGGTCATATGTAGGGGCCTCCCTCACCCTGGGGGAGTAACTCCTGATAGCTTCTTTGCCATAAAATCTCTAGTTCTCAGAACAGAGAGAAAAAGCATAAAGTGTTATTGCTGGGGAAAAAAAACCTAGAGATCTTTAATTGGAACTAGGTTTTCCACATTTAAATGTCAGGGTTCCTTTCATTGTCAAAATGTTCCTGTGTGATAGTAGTTAAGACTTATTCATTCTAGACTAAAGCTGTCTAGTAGAAAACTTGTGGGAATCGAAGGCAGGATCTTGAAGAGATATTTGTATATCCATGTTCATAGTGACATTATTCACAATAGTCAAAAATTGGAAGCAACCCAAGTGTCCAATGAGAGATGAATGGACAAACAAAACATGGTTTATACATACAGTGGAATATGATTCAGCCTTAGAGAGGAAGGAACTTCTAACACACGTTACGACATGGATGAACCTTGAGAACATTATGCTTAGTGAAACCAGCCAGTCACAAAAGGACAAATACTGTATGATTGCACTTATGTGAGGTCCCTAGAGTAGGCAAGTTCATAGAGACAGAAAGTGGAAGGGTGGTTGCCAGGGGCTGTGGGGGTGGGAAGAATGGGGAGTTCATGTTGAATGGGTACAGAGTTTCAGCTTGGGATGTTGAAAAAATTCTGGAGATGGATGGTGGTGGTGTTTGCACAACAGTGTGACTGAACTTAATGCTACTGACCTGCACTTCAAAAGGGTTAAGAGGGTAAATTTTATGTTATGTGTATCTTATAACAGTAAAAAAAGAATGGGTGAGAATAATTTTAATAATATATCACATTTTACCCAACAGAACCAGAATATTATCAGTTCACATGAAATCAATACTAAAAAAGTATTGAGATAGTTTTTAGTCTTTATTTATTTATTTGTTTATTTATTTTGTTAAAGATTTTATTTATTTATTTGACACACACACAGAGAGAGAGAGAGAGAGAGAGAGGGAGAGCAGGAACACAAGCAAGGGGAGTGGGAGAGGGAGAAGCAGGCTTCCTACCAAGCAGGGAGCCTGATGTGGGGCTCGATCCCAGGACCCTGGGGTCATGACCTGAGCCGAAGGCAGGCGCTTAACGACTGAGCCACTCAGGCACCCCTAGTCTTTTTTTAGATGAAGTCTTGGAAAACCATTTTATACTTTACACTTTGAGCATATCACAATGGCCACATGTCAAGTGCTCAGTAGCCACGTGTGGCTAGTGGCTATCATATTGGATGATGTATTGCCTTAGACAATATTTGGTGGGAATATGGCTTCAATATGCTCCCAGACCCCTAGAGTTCCTTGAAGCATGGGTTGGGACCTTGATGACAGTCACACACCAGGTGTCTTTCTCCTTCAAAAAGAAAGAGACTGAGAGAAACAGATTGTAACCCTCAGTTGTTGATAGCCAGGTGCTCAGCCTGGACAGAGCTGGCTCCTGAGCAATCGCCCGCAGATATGGTTTAGTGACTAAGGTTACTGATATCTGAGCAGAAAGAAAGAAAAAGAAAGAAAGAAAGAAAAGACAGAAAGAAAGAAGGAAAGATGAAAGAAAGAAAAGAAAGAAAGAAAGAAAGAAAGAAAGAAAGAAAGAAAGAAAGAAAGAAAGAAAGAAAGAAAGAAAAGTCCTTAAGAATTGGAAATTGGGAGGCAAAGGATTTGATTTGAGGATAATTAGGGCTTGATGGGAAAAGTCTCATGCAATCTAGAATTCTCATCACTGTTAAAAAAAGAAGTTCTATTATGATCCTTCTTGGATAGCTTAATGAGTCAGTTTCTTTTTTTCCTTCCCTCTCTCCTTCCCTCCCTCCTACCCTTTTGAGTGTTCTTGTCTGGGCCGCTCTGACAGGTGTCTGTTTCTCTGGAAGTCTGATAAGAGCTGTTCGCCTGCTTTCCCCCAGCCCCTTCCCTTTTGTTTCTCAGGCTGGGTAGGCAGAGAACATGGTATGTCTCCAAAGCAGAGGGCTGCAGTTCTCCCCACAGCCACCCTGCTGCTGTGGGGAAGCCTGCGGGTTTCTGGAAGAGTGCTCACTGAGAATGCTAAGCCTCCTCCCAGACCTTCTGGCTTCTCTGCTGGGGATGTGGAGGGTCTGCCTGCAGCCTAATCCACTACCGCAAATTCCTATGCTTCCAGAAACCACTCCCTCACCTGTGAGAGACTCCAACTTGCCGGCTGTCCAAGGAAGACAAAATGGAGCATTGCCCCACGGCCCAGTAAGGGAGATTCCTGTTATGCATGCCTGCCAATTCTTAAGATGATGAGCACTGGATTTGATTAAAAGCGGGTTTTCTCACACATAACCCCGCCCACCAGCCAGCCAAACTGCAGATGAGCACCATGTATGCCAAACAAATGTTGTTGGCAGAGGATGAGCAAGGCTTTGTCCAACCCTCCTCTACGGGGTGAGTGATGCCATGGCGCACGCGGACATGTGTGTGTGTGTGTGTGTGTGTGTGTGTGTGTGTGTATGCTTATAAATAAGCAGGGTGTGAGGCAGAGGCAGAAATGGGCCAGTTTCAGTTCCTATCATTGTTTTACAACCTCAGAATTAATTTCCTCCTCCAGAAAGTCAAGGGGACAGTGTCACCAGCCATGCACAGCCCTGTCCCCTCTGAGGGGTGGCTACTAAAGACCGCTCAGTAAGCACAGATGCAAGGCTTGGGTTTCTCAAGCTTGAGAAGGAACCAATTGCTAGGAGGGGAAGGGGCGTGGCTGATGGCACAGGGTCTGCCCCTCCTGAAATCTGGCCACCCCTCTACCCGCCTCCTTGGAATTGCAAAACTCATCCTAGTTGGTTAGGCCTTGGGCTCCTTGGTCCCCCTGGGTTTTCCACAACACAGGTTTGTTTGGCTGCATGGGCTCCACAAAGAACCCTGGGATGTTTTGACACCAGAATTTGGGAAAATCAGTGCCCTGGTGATTCAGAAAAGTAGCTGAAGGAGCACTGTGGCTCCAACGCTGTGCCGATCCAAGGGCACCCTCCCAGGCCAGCCTCTGGGGACCAGGCTGTGTGTGGCGTCCAGATGTTGGGCTGAGGTTGGGAATCAGAGGTAGCATGCTACCAGGCCTCCCTCCTCCTCTGATGGCCATGGATGACTGTTGGCTCTGCCCACCAGTCTCAAGCCTCATTCAGGCAGGTTCTCAACACCCAGGCTGCAGTGCAGGTCGACAGCAGACAATCCAAGGCAAATAAGGATGATGGCATCTACGCTGCTTGGATTCCCCTTGGGATTAATGTCTCATGAATAAACAGTCCACAAAGCCCATATTCATAGAAACGCTTAGGATGTAGAACTGAAGGCAGATTGGTGCCTGTGGGCAGCCTGGGACAGGGGGGCATGGAGGACTGGGTAGGACTCAGAAGGGGCGGAAACCAGGGGGCTGCCTGCTCAGGGACTGGGAAGTGGCTCCATTTGCAGAGTGGTAGGGAGGACGTGAGACCCAGCTGGGAACTCCTGTCACAGCGTCAGTCACAAGAGCTGAGCCCGGACGAGATGACTAGCTGCTCACAGCCCAGGGACCAGGAAAAATAAACAATACTCATTAACTGAGCTGTCCTGCGGGAATGAGATGGGCTTCGTTTCATGTTGTATTTGCTCCAGTACTCACGGCCCTGAAAATCCCTTAAGGGAGCTGCCTTGTGCTAGGTTGAGTGATTACACTTTTTTTTTTTTTTTAAAGAAAAAAGTCTGAAGCAAATATGGCAAAACGTGAAAGCAAATTAACGGTGGGTACCTGGGGGCTCAGCTGTATTATTTCTATACTTTTCTATATATTTTGATTATTTTGTGATCAAGAAAGCATGTACTTAAAATGAAGGAACGGAGCATTCTTGATTTTATCCGGCAGAAACTGTTCTGGGATGCGGTTGACTCTCTCTCTTCTTGCCTCTTTTGTGAAGAGTCCAGGCAGGGCCAGGAATGCTGGACTCACGGACAGCTGTGTTTTGTACCCCCCTCCTCCGCAACCCTCCCACACCCCTGCACCCTAGTAAGGCAGCAGCACCAGCCTGGGGTTGGCACACCAGGAAATCCTGGTCCTGGTATCACCACATCCTTACAACTCAGCTGATCCCAAGGCGTGCAGCGGAGGGAGGCATCATACTGGCTTCGTGGGCCTCTGTGGCTGGCTGGGAACATCGACGATGATGATTCATCGGGAAGTCAGTAGTAATCTCCTCTGTTTCCCAAAGAGGGGGGAATGGTAGCACCGCAGGGTGACCTGCCTGAAGCCACAGAGGGAAGATAAATAACTGGGAGGAAAAACTAGAGCTGAATAGCTCCTGCTGAGATTTAAGGCCTGAAGCTCGTGAGCTGTTCTGGGAAGGGCTTGGTTCTCCCAGCGAAGGGCCTGTGTGACGTGACTGTGGGTCTCAGTGGAGCCCTGGCCATTCAGTGGCTTCTCCAGACCATGGGGTCTATCTCTGTCCAGGCCTGCAGAGTTGCCCTCCGGCACAGATCCTTGCCAATTCCCTGCAGGCCAGCTCCTAGGAGAGGGGCCTACGGTCCAGACACTTGAAGAAGGTGGTTTGCAGCTCAGGAACTGGTAAGACTGGTTTCCAGTGCTGACAGCCACTAGGCAATGCCAGGAGGGCAGGGTGAGGAGAAGCGCTTGGGGTGGGCAGAAGGCAGAGCGGCTGCTACCAATTTAAAGGCGACTAGAAAAGCTTCTGGAATCTCCAGCTCTACTGGCCATTGCCCCTGGACATTCTGTCCCTAGGATATGATCCTGTAATATGGTGACCTCTTTGTTAAACCGTCCAGGAATAAATTGTGTTGGAAGTAAAATCCAAGGGCCCGGCATCCCCTTAAGAATTACCAGGGGTCTGATTTTACCCTAAACCACTTGCTTTCGTCTCAGAAAAAGTTGAGACCACAAAGTATTTTTAAATGGCAAGTGTGGCTTGGATTAAAAGTGTTCCTTTTATGGCGCCTGGCTGGCTCAGTTGGTCTTGATCTCGGGGTCGTGAGTTCAAGCCCCACGTTGGGCAGAGAGCTTACTTAAAAAAAAAAAAGTTCCTTTTATAGAGGAATTTTATTTTTGCTGTCGAGCTTTTTATTTTTTAAGTCAAGACTTGAAGTATAGTTACTATAGCATCTTACATAAAATGTTTTCTTTGAGTACCTTTGTTTCAGGCCCTTGGAAACAAATGTCATCACTCAGGGAGTCATAACTTGAACAGTTGGGTCTTCTGTTAGATCAGGGTGTTTGAGGAGTTAGCTCTGTTTGCTACTCCAGAATTACAGCCCTCCCATATTTTTTAGGAGAGGCAAAGCTTCATTAACCTGGACTATTTATCAGTGGTTTTTAAAGACAGGGAAATGTTTATTTTATGAGAACATTGGTCCCACCTTAATTTGCAAGGGATTAAAAAAAGTCACTACCATGAAACATAATAGGGAAGTATTTGGTTCTTGTGAAACCCACTAATGTTTGTGATGGAATTTCTTCTACATAAAAACACCCTGGAGATAATTTTCCAGTCGTCCCATCTTCCATGTTGTCTTGGTATCGGGTTTTTTCAAAGCCCCTGGAGGGGAAATGTTGCAGGCATGGAGGGATCCCACAGTCCACTTGTCTTGCCTCCCAGAGCTCAGATGGTCTGCTGCCTTGTTCGTTGCGTTGTTCTCGGCTTCCTTACCCAGAGGAAAGTCCCCATGGCCCATTTTCTGTGCAGTGCTTTTCCACTCTTTCATAATCTATTATTGTGACCTTGAGATGCAAAGAGGAGGCTTTGGCAGGGTGTGCTTCACGTGGAGCCAGCTCTGCTGCAAGCTGGGCCCCGGTCCCACACGCCCGTGGCTTTTGTTGCCCTGTGCACCCCAGAGGACATGCCTCTGCCTGTCGTCATGCATCCTGGCACCCCAGCCAGGGGCTGTAGGATCCCGGAGGCCGAAAGGACTCCCATCAGTTTCCCTGAGAAGTACTGTGCTCTTGGGGGGCTGGGTCAGAAGGAGTGTGTGTGCATGTGCGCGCGCGTGTGTGTGTGTTTGAGAAAGACACACAGAGAGACAGAGCGAGGCAGAGACAGACAGAACTAAGAGCTCAAAAATCTACTTTAAAAGTGGATTGCAAGTTATTTTTTTTTCTAGGATTGTCCCTGATGGATTTGATTCTTGTATAGATCTGTTAGAAAAGCCATACACTCTATGCAAGACAGTTTATTCTTCAGTGAAGACATAGAGTCTCTGAGAAGAACACCAGGCAACAGGAGGATGGCTGGGCATGCCAGAGTGCAGGAAGCAGGGGAAGGAAGCCCAGCACGGAGGGAAAGTGCTGGAAACCCCAGCTGCCCGCAGCGCTGGGCTCCACCCCGGGTCCCTCGCTCTTTGCCCACTGCGCCGAGCCTCGATCTGCTCTCCCTTTTCAGCCTGGTCTGAGCTGGCAGATGCTCTTGCCAAAGCTTACTTCATCAGATGAAATGAAGGGGAAATCTGATTTGCCACTAATTGGACTTACTGTAGACAATTAAGTTTAAACTGACATGAAGGAACTATCAGACACTGGGATTTTCAGTGTTTTTCTTCATATTACCGGGAACTTTTTCCAGAATCTAAGTGATTATGAATTGAGATATTGAATGCGGTATCAGGATTTTAAGTCACTTTAAGTCAGGATACTGGAAATAGCCGTGTGTGCCCTATTATTATATAAATTAACATATACCCTATGTGTATATGAAGTATATGGGGTGTGGTGTGTGTATAGGATATGATAAATATACACAGTGTATATATAGTACATGGGTTGTATCTATATGTAGTAAGTGAGATGGATCTCTCTCTTTCTCTCTCTCTCTCTCTCTCTCTAGGTAGGCAAGAGCATTTAATACTAAGTGCACAGGATGTTTTCCTTTTATTTTCTAAAATAACCTAGTCTTTAATTCCTGTCGTGATCAATCATTCACAGATAAAGAGGGCCGGGATGCTGTTCCTGGGCATTCCGATTCCTTCCTTGAAGTGAATTTACCATCTGCACTGACCTTTCAAAGGTTTTCTTTTCTTTTTTTTTTATTATTATGTTATATTAATCACCACACATTACATCATTAGTTTTTGATGTAGTGTTCCCTGATTCATTGTTTGCATATAACACCCAGTGCTCCATGCAGAACACGCCCCGTTTAATACCCATCACCAGGTCAAAGGTTTTCAACCATCACCTCCCTAAACACTTCCAGTGAAATTTCTGCCAATCCCCCTTGTCTAGTCTTAGACCTCGTTCTCCAAAGCAGGTGCATCTGTCCCACCAGCTGATCCAGCCAGTCATTTAATCCTTCATTAAATGAATTAAACCATTACTCAACAAACACTTATTGGCTGCCCACTCTGGGGAAAGCTCTGTGGACACTGCAAATGCGGTGTGTGCATGTGCGTGCGTGCGTGCGTGTGTATGAGAGACA